GTGGGAAGAACACATTGAATATGTGCCTTAACTGATCATAGCATAAGATAAAAACTTTAATACATTGTATATGTATATTGTTTGGGAGGAGATAGGGGATGTACTCCATATGTGCTTATTTGCTTTAATATATTGTAAATGTATCTTTGTTTGGGAGGAGATAGGGGATGTACTCCGTATATGATTATGTGCTTTAATACATTGTATATGTATATTGTTTGGGAGGAGATAGGGGATGTACTCCATATGTGCTTATTTGCTTTAATACATTGTATAGGTATCTTTGTTTGGGAGGAGATAGGGGATGTACTCCATACGTGTGATTATATGCTTTAATACATTGTATATGTATCTTTGTTTGGGAGGAGATAGGGGATGCACTCCATTGTTTGGAAGGAGATAGGGGATGGACTCCATAGATAATTAAGTTGGCAAGAGTGTCCGGGGTGAAAGTTCCGAAACCTTATAAATTGAAGTGCCCGAATGAAGTTGACATTTGAAGTGTTAATAACATGAGTTGCAGTCTCATTATGAATTGATGATAATTGGAGTGTTAATTACATGAGTTGTAGTCTCATTTTGAATTGTGGACAACGGAAGTGTTAATAAGTTGAGTTGCAGTCTCATTTAAATTGTTTGGTTAGATAACGAACCATATTTAGGAATTGAATTGGATGAATAAAGGGAAGTGGATTGAAACATGGAGGTAATTGTTGTTGGGCTATAGGAAAGGTGTGAGTTGGTTTACAAATGTTAATCATTTGCCGAATGTTAATGTTTTAGTTATTTCTCATATTGGGTTTAGCATATCTCTACTGGGTTTTGGCTCACCCTACTTGGGACACCATTTTCAGGTACGGGAGACGTGCCGCCTCCAAGATCCTTGCTTAGGAGATTTAGGAGTTGAAGACTCTGCTTTGTTATTTGTTTTGTTGGTTACATGTAAATGCGAGCTGAGGGCTTTACTTGTAAAGGAGTTAGAACTCTTCTCTTGTGTAACCAAGTAACAACTTGGAAAGATGTAAGCCCGCAGGGCATTCTATTATCTTTGTAAACATTTTTAACTTATATGAAATACTCTTTGTAATATTAACTCTGATGTATGCATGGAAATGTGATTTATCTATCATGAATATAGAACTGTTAGATGTTGGGATTACATAATATTTTGACGGCGTTACACATGTTTTGTAATATTAGGCGAGCCAAAATTCCACTTCATCACCAATGGATCAAGGGATGGCATGTGTTGGATGTACTATCCATTTAATACAAGAAAAAGAGTATACATAATATTTTTTTAATTCCATTTTCTTACTCTAGACATAAGACAACATGGGTGATTATTGAGTATTCCGGGAGTATGATCACGTGGTGTTCCATGATATTATGATTGATGGAGAAAGTGGAGTATTATAATTTTGTGTTGGGTGATTAAGGAATAAGAAGGAAAATGGTGAATGATGATTGATGAAGGAATATGGACTTGCGGTACTCCAGGATACCTAATAATTTTCTTAACAGTAGCACCCACATTAATAAATGACATGAGATTCATTCACCATGTGTCTTGAAGTACGAAAATAGGATAACAAACAAGATTATAGGCAATATTTTTTAGTGTGATTGTGGATAAAATTATTTTCTATTATAGGAAGAATTAAAAAAAAAAAATGTATGAGCTTTGCTAAGTGTAAAATTGGAAACGGTGAGGAAAAAGTCTACTCGAAGTTTTGACAAATGGCATTTTGTTGAGACTTTAGTTGATAAGTATGAGATAATTTGGGATTGTATTGTATGAGTCATTGGGTGGAATAATAGGATTGGTCTATCAAAAAACATAGCACAACTATAAAAAAAAGTTAGAGGACATTCAATTCATACCTGGTGGTTGAGGAAGGGTTGTGTGTAGAAAGTTTTGAGGTTGTCCAAAAACTTTTAAGATTCAATGTAGTTAGTTTAGGGAACAAGATGGTATTTTCATCATCTTTTTCTTTTCCCTTTTCCTCTGAGACAATCGCTAACATCTTTAGACAACTATAAACATTGAGTACTTCCAGATTTTGTAACTATGAAAGCAAATAAGACGGAACAACATTCACCAGTTTTTCACAATCCTCGATCATCATGTGCTTCAAAAAACAAAACGACTCTCTTGAGTGCAATTTATCCCATATTTTTGTTATGTTTCGTACTCTGTTTATGAGCAAATCCTCCAAATCAGGGAATACAACATGCGAGATTTAGTACATTATTGTTAAACCAATATTTACAAACTCCCAGATATCATTATCGAACAACATTAATTTAAAAGGGAAAAGAAAAAGGTCAAGCTATGAGAGATTACAATTTTGTTGTAATGTAATTCCTCCATTATAAACCGAAAAAAAAAATCACATATAAAATTAGAGAGATCAAATTGAAATTCAAACAAACTATAGGACCACCGGTGCAATATAATTTATTTATTACATTGGTGCCTATAGTTTGTTTGAATTTTACCTCAATCTCTCTGGTTTTGCACATGATATTTTTCCATTCAAAATTTGGCAAGTGTAATTTCATTTTGGCCCCATGTGTGTAACTCATTCACAAAAAAAAATTTAGATTGTTTCAGTAATCCTAATCACATGATTTTATTATGTCTCAAAAAAAATTAAAAGTTTTATTTTTAAAAACATAATATTATTCATTTTTTAAAGAAAAAATATATTAAAATCATGTAGTTATAATCATAGATAAAATCTCTAATTTTTCGTTTGGAAATAGGCTATTTTAGTAACTTTTTTTTTTTAGCTAGAATATGAGGCAAAAAAATTAGTATTTTGGAATGACTTTTATTTTGTACGAGAATATGTGTAAAAAGTAAAGAGAAAAAGAAAATCTTTTAATATTTAGTAAAGGCGGTTGTATTTTTAGTCCTTTTTTTTTGTGACTTTTTGACTTTCAAATTAAAATATTGAGTTGCCAAGGCTTTAAACACAAGAGTATAACCCAGGATGACCCCACAGTGTGGTACAATCCACTTATGTATAATATTAGGACTTGTATCAAGTACAGATTTAAACTTGTGTGTGTCAATTTCCGACCACACTGCCAATCAAGCACTCAGCTGGAGAACACTGGTGAAATAGATTAAGCCCGAGCGACTTGTCATAAAAAGAAGAGATTCCAGAGGTGGTTCGTCCACCCAGGGTCACTCCGACGATCAATTCAGTTATCTCTCAAAGATAGCAAAAATATTTAACTCACTATTTAGAGCATAAAAAGCATACCTTAAACCCATGAGGGTGCCTCTCTTTTATAGCCAACACTTACCTAATCCCAATAGAACCCTAGCTTCAATTGACTTAGGATTACTGCTAATCTTGGACTCCCAGTAGGATTGGGATAAACTCTCTAAGAGTCTTATCTTTATCCAAACTGAAGTCCTCTCCCATTCTAGGACTCTTATCCCTTATCCGCTTATCTCGGATTTCGATTTCTTCGCAGATAACCTCGGCCTTGCCGAAATTACCTCGGCTTCGTGACCAGGACACGTGGCACCTCGACTGGCACTTCGATGACACCTCGGCCACGTGTTGTCATTCAAAAATTATGTCCCCACAACTACCCCCTAGGTTCTATTACCTCGGCATCCTGAGGTGATGGAACCTATATCATTCCTTCCTTTATTCATGACCCCGGTTTAACTTCAACTTGTAAATTTTTCTTAAAATTTCAACAAGTGTTAAACTAACCTTAGCTTGTAAATTCAAACTCCCAAGCATCATTCTCCAGCCCTCTTTGATTCTCTATGCCTGACCTCCCGTGAAGGCCGGTGAGAATGCCCCTTTGCCCTGTCATGATGAGGGACTGCTGGAACTGTGTTTTGCCCCCCTTCCGGGGCATCTTTCTTGGCCGCTGGAATCGGCGTATCTTGGAAAGGGAACGGTGACTACATGACATTATTCTGCATCATGAAATTGACGACCATTTACAGGTCCGCCAATTTGTTCGCCATTCCCTTCATCTTGTCGTCCCTCCGCAGGCATCTCTCTTTCCACCTGGAGGTCGTCCTCATTATAATACCCACCTCGGTCTGATTTCTTTGTTACGTCGCCCTCCTGGCCGACGTCTTTCTCTCTGTGATTCTTATCACGAGTTTCTTTGTTGCAGTTGTCTTCTTCGATGTCAAGGTCAATATATTTCCCACTCTCAGCAGGGGTGTCGTCCCCCACCTTCTTTTTCTGTCCGTTGTTGGCCATCTATTCTCCTTTCTTTCCACAGACGGCGCCAAATTGTGTGTCAATTTCTGACCACACTGCCAATCAAGCACTCAGCTGGAGAACACTGGTAAAATAGATTAAGCCCGAACGACCTGTCACAAAAAGAAGAGATTCTGGCAGTGGTTCGTCCATCCGGGGTCACTCCAACGAACAAGTCAGTTATCTCTTAAAGATAGCAAAAGTTCTTAACTCACTATTTAGAGCATAAAAAGCATACCTTAAACCCATGAGGGTGCCTCTCTTTTATAGCAAACACTTACTTAATCCCAATAGAAGCCTAGCTTCAATTGACTTAGGATTACTGCTAATCTTGGACTCCCAGTAGGATTGGGATAAACTCTCTAAGAGTCTTATCTTTATCCAAACTGAAGTCCTCTTCCAATCTAGGACTCTTGTCCCTTATCCGCTTATCCCGAACTCCGGTTTCTTCGCAGATAACCTCGGCCTTGCTGAAATTACCTCGACTTCAAGACCAGGACATGTGGCACCTCGGCTGGTACTTCAGTGACACCTCGGCCACGTGTTGTCATTCAAAAATTATGTCCCCACAAAACTCAAAGCAAATATTTTCATTGGAATAGAAATCCTTTTTCTTATTTTTTCTGATGGCCATGGTTAATTAAAAGAGTTAGGACATCTGTACCTGATCATTAAACAATGGTTGTGCCTCCGAACTTGTAGAGCTGCTGCAGAAACTTTTAGGTTTATACAATTTGTCAATTGACAAAGAACTTAGTTCAGGAAAACAATGATATCGCCTTTGACCGTTGCATTTGCTTTCTTGGAGACTATCACTTCCATCTCTGGACAACCTTTTACATAAATTGAATTTAGATTTTTTAACCTTGAAAACATACTCGAAGGAATTACATTCACCAGTTTGTCACACCAAGTGGCATTCACGATAGCCAATTTTTCGAAGGATTGTGCGTCTGTTTTTGGAACTGGAAGTAATTGCTTCCCCCAAATCTCTGTTATGTTAGGCAAGTTGCAAATGTGAAATTTCGCCAAGGCAGCGAAAGCAACCTGCAAAGTAGTTCACGAATCATAGCACATTTCATTAGTGTTTGTTCCAAATCGATTCACTTCTCAGATGAAGTCAGTATTTCTCCAACAACCGCTACACCATGAATTAACCAGCTAGTGTGGATGTGCAAATGATGAGCAACACTAACTAAATACTGTGTTGCCTTAAACTTTTCTAGAATTCGTCTAGACAAGAATGACACAATAGAGGCCATTTTGTAAATAAAAGGCACCTTGATGGTTTCTTTTTAACTGATGGTCCCATAACTATGGAAAATTGTATTTCCATACATTTATTTACCTCAGTGTACACACTTGATAAAACATTAAAATAATTACAATTATATCCTAAAATAAAATGACCATAGTAGACACCAAAACACACCCTTAATATTATATTTAAATTTTCTCTATACACATCTTCTTCTTCTTCTTTTTTTTTTTAAAAAAAAAATCTCAATACACATCTTTTGAGTAAAAAAAGTAAACCCTAAATTTTTTTTTGAAATAAATGTATGCACTAAGAAATAATTATAATTTTCTCTCAATTTTTTTGAACTTCGAAGAAATTTTGTATAACCGTTCATGGAACTCGTAATGCAAATACAGTGTTGTTTCAATTAAAAAGCACTAACAGATTGAATTGTGGACAACTTTAAAATAGAAGAGCAACACATAAAGTTTCACTCTTTCTCTCTATCATGAAGTAAAGGACTGTTGATTGATTGGGTTTAGAGGAATTCTTAATTGCTTCTGGAAAGTTGTAGAATACTGCTACTACATATCAGACCATATCAGACTTGAATTGCATGTGATAATAGATACACTAGTGGGAGTGACAGGTGGGTTGTCCCAGTATTCGGGCCATACTTGATGCATCTAGGGTTTATTTGTGAACAACTCGTTGCCTCTAATGGAATTGTCAATGGGTATTCATTGTTTTTTTTATAGAATTTTCAATGGGTCATTTTGATACATCAAGTATGTGGAAAAAAGGGCTTTCAACAGAAATGGGTAAAGGTGTGGAAGGAAGGTTTAGGTGGTGTACGTATAATGATATGAGTTAGGGTATAATTGGAACATCAAGTGTAGAAGAATAATATAGCGATCCCGGTTTTCCCTTTCCTTGTTTAGTGTATTTCGGTCTCAGTTCCGTGGATGATGGTTGTTGTTTGTGTTGCACTCCCATCTTTTAGCTCTCTGAATTTGGGTTTAGAAATGTCTTGGGCGTGTTTCGAATAGGTTGGTTGAGCTTTAGTCCCATTTCTTGTTGCCTAGATTTTTGGTGGTCCACTCGAGCGGATCCCTTCGTGCTCGAGCGGAGTTTGCACACTTTTAGCATCTTGTGCGTCTGCAAAAGTACTGCAGGTTTGTTTTTCACGCTCGAGCGGGTTTTCCTTTGCGCTCGAGCGGGTGGAGTTTTGTAGTTGTGGCTTGGCGCTCGAGCGGGTCCAGTTTTTGTGTTTGACGCTCGAGCTTCCTATTCTCCGCTCGAGCAGACTAGTTGTATATCATATGGCAGCTGGGTGATTTTAAATCACTTTTCACACTTTTTTTCTCTCTCTTACTTTTCAAAACCTCCATTTGAGAGCTCCTTACTCTAGGTTTCAACTTCTCTGTAAGGTTTGATCTAGTTTGAGGGATCTTCTACCATAGTTCCTTTACATAAAGTGTAGAGCTTGGTTTGGGCTACCTATCCATCCGAAAATCTTGGGTTTTGGAGCATTTCGAACTTCTTCATCATCTCCATTTGGTCTCATCTCTTGAGGTAGGGATAACTACTCATCTTTATGAGCTTTGACATAGATTTTGAGCATTTTGTATAAATGGTTTGATTTTGGTGTTAAGGTTTGAGTTTTGGAATATTGAAAAGAGGGGTTTTGTTATTTTAACCCATACATGTGTGTTTTGGATATTAATATGAGATTAGTGATATTGTTGATAATATTTGAGCCTTTGAGTCAAATATTGGGAAAATGGGAAAAATGCCTATGTTGGGTAAAAAAATTGGGTTATTAGCATAATTAATGAAATTAATTATGGGCCTATGAAATTGGGATGGAAATGATGAAATTGGCTTAAGATGAGATTAAATGGTGGAGTTAGATTGGTTAATCGCTCACCTTCGAAAATATTGATAATATATCTGTTGATGCATTTATTATCTGTTTAGAAATAATTGCTTTGGGCTATCGGTGGAGGATAGTCTTGATTGTTGTAGATAATGCATGATGATTAGGCGAATTAAAACTAATCAATTGAATATGTCATTGAATATGACGGTTGGAATAATACATCAAATTTACGTATTGATTGATCGTGTATATGATATGTGTTTATATACATTGTGTTATTTGGGAGGAGATAGGGGATGTACTCCACGGTTTAGGGGAAGATAGAGGATGGACTCCTAAACCGGATTTTGTTTGGGAGGAGATAGGGGATGGACTCCATTGATACAGCAAATCTGTGTATCATTTATGAAGTATGGAAGTGTTTTAATGTGGTATTGATACAACAAATATGTGTATCTATTGTGAATTATGGAAGTATTTTGATATGAGTTGTTATCTCATTAAGAAAAAGGAAAATGTTTTAATATGAGAAGTACTCCCATTTAAATTGTCTGGCCAGGTTCTAAGCCATATTGATAAATCGAAAATGGTATAAGTAACGAAAAGTGGAATGAAACATAGATTATTTGTCATGAAACTGGATTGTGTTGTATGTTGGTTTATATGAATTAAATATTTATCAAATGCCCATGTTTTAGTTATTGCTCATATTATGTTTAACATATCTCTACTGGGCGTTGGCTCACCCTATATGGGACATCATTTTCAGGTGCAGGTGACATGCCACCTCCAAAGACGTAGCTTGGGAGGCTTGGGGCTGTTAGATCTTTTTGTGATTACCTTTTTGTATTACATGTATATCAAGCCAAGGGCTTACTTTGTGTATAGAGTTACTACTCTACTTTTCTTGAACCCAAGTGTTGACTTGGAAAGTTGTAAGCCTGCAGGGCATTTACTTTTGTTGTCAACATGTAATGTTTTTTGTAAGAATACTCCGATGAATGGGAAAGTATTTTATTCTCTTAAGTTATGGATGTTATGAATGTATGATTTGTGGGTTATTTTGAGGGCGTTACAAATAATCAATAACCAAATTAATAAATGTGTGCACTAAGAAATGATGTGTAGTGAGGTAAGTAGGTGTGTGTAAATAGAATTTCCTTTAATATGAGAGTGTGCACACATTTTTTTATTAAATGGGTATATTTGGAATGTGGAGTGTGTGGACTGAGATAAATACCTAATAATCAAATTACTAAGTGTGTGGAGTGAGAAAGAATGTGTATAGAGACAATATGATGTGTGGAAATAGAATTTCCCCATAACTATGAGCATCTCTATTGCTAAAATGCTAAAATGGATAGTCAAGGCCAAATTTTGACATTGCTACAATGTCAAAATGCCAAATGTTAGCAAGGATAAATTACATTGGCAACCCCTGAGGTTTCTCTCTAATACATTAGTACCCTTGTGGTTCTGCAAGTCGCATCTCCTCCCAGAGATTTATAGTCACATTACAAAACTCCCGCTTTGTTAATTAACCGTTGAGTCAACGAACATATTTTGCTAATGTCATCAATTATTATTTTGAAAATGCCATGTTTACCCCTAAAACCCCACATTACAACCTTCTGCCTTTAAAATCGAGCATAACAATACATATTTCCACAATCAATTTCTTTCTCATCTCTCATTCACCATCTTCTCACAATCATCACATATTCATATAAAATCTTCATCAAGTGTCTCTCTCTTGCAACCTTATTCCATGGTATTTACATGAGATTCCTTTTTTTTATTCTTAAACAAGTCCCTAAGAGGGTTGTACTCAGTATATAGCAAATCAAAAACGTGGACAACAGTGTTAACCCTTCAACTACACAAAATGAGATTGCCAAGTTTGGTCCGTAATACTCTTGATGTCCTTGGACACTAGTAGGCATTTTCATTCCCAAAGAACATGGCAAGTCTGATAATGTCGGCGTGATTTGGGTGGACATTGGTGGATGTGATGGAGATAAACATTGGTGTTGTGGTGGGGATCTTGTCAATGGTTATGGCAGTGACAAGCATGGATGGTAGGGTGGGGTGGGGTGGGATGAGGTGGTGATGGATTTGGTAACAGTGACACAAATGGGATAGGTTTCGGTTGGTTATGGTGGACGGTATAAAGGATGGGTGATTATTGGGTACTCTCAAAGCACAATCATGTGGTGCTCCATTGTATTTTGATTGGTGGAGAAATGGGGTATTATGGTTTTGTATTGTGTGATTGAGGAACATAAGAGGGCATGATGAATGGTGATTAATAAAGGAGTATGAACACGTGATACTCCAGGAGTACCTAATAATTTTCCGTGAAGGATGAAGATGAGAGAGTGGGTTGGGAAAGAAGATTATGCTGTTAGATTGGGATAATTAGGTAATTTTATTTTAGAGTGTGAGGCTAATAAGGTAATTGTAAATTTTATGTTAACTCAAGTCACAAATTAGACACTTACAGGGATTGCAATGTACTTTATGCAAGGTTGTAGCACTTGTGTCCTTCAAAGCTTTGAGGAAGTGTATTTGAATCCTTTATTTTATTTTGGAAATCCTTGGTGTTGTTATGGGTTGGTTTTGGAGGAGTATAATCTGATTTAAACTTGTTGGGTTTGGTTGTTCGTACTTATTCTTGTCAAAAGTTCATTGGAGACTTAGAAAATTTGCTAGGGTCGACACCAGCCTTCCTAAGGGTTGACCCTTACCTATGGGTGAAGTTTCTGGAAATGTTGCTGGAAAATAGGGTAGACACCAGACTAGAGAGGGTCGACCCTCTTATGTCTATGTGTTGGTTGCTAGGAAATAGGGTAGACACCAGTCTGGGAGAGGGTCGACCCTCTTACATGCTGTCAAACATAAGTTTCTTCATAAGGTCGACCCCTG